GTCGTTATCCAACATCATTAAGAGGAAGCTTTTCATTTGCTAGTATGCAGACGCAGAATTAAAAACTACACAAAAAAGTGACGCACATACACTGCACTCCTCTCATACCTTTGATATGAGAAACAAAAACCTTCTCCGGGCAAGTGGTAACGAGTTCTTTGTCGAAAGCATAGACGGTAAAAGTGAAGAAAGATCCAGGATGCTCGTTTAGTGGCTCCGAAGCTAGCACGATGTTCTATGAAGACCTACTGAAGTTGAGGGGCAAGAAATGAAAAATTTCTGGCGGTTCGTCTGCCAGAGAGGATACTTAACGGAGGGTTCGCCTGTCACTGCCATCCAAGGTCAGGTCCATGACCACTAAAGAAACTCGAAAAAAATTTTTTCGCTGAAACCTCTTAAACAGGGGTAATCAATGGCCCTGATCACGATTCTGACAATTATTTATGGCGCCGACGTGATCTGGGGCCAGCGTGGCGCTAAAAGGCCACTGCGAGCGCGAAGGGATGCTGCATAAGCCCCTAAAGAAATTGCAGTGTACCTCACTGTATGCCAAGTAAGGCACTTGTATTTCGACCTTATTCAATGTTCTTTTTCATGTCTAGTTGAGAAACACTTTATAAACTATGTATTCTGCTTTACAGCTGAAACAGATGCGAATGAGATGATAAAACTTGCGTATTTTAAGCGATTTGTTTTTATTCCTTTTTTGACATTCCCAATAGCGTTTAGCAAAAATGAAACCCTGTGGTCCTTGTATGGACCCCTACAACATGCAACAAATCGTTTTGAAAAAGCTCACCACGGCTTGAACGACCTCCCTTGTGAGGTACTTCCTCTGAAAATGAAGGTTGACGTGATAAATTTGCTCTCCTTGCTTCACCCATGACATTGTTTCTTCAAGTAAATAGAGACAATGGAAACTCCGCATGGAGACAGCTGTTCAAAACTCGTAGAGGTTCTATAAAAGAGCTGGTGCAGTGATGTAAAGATATCCACCCACTTGTTCCAAAGCGTTCGCTTAATATTCACTAGGTTCTCTCATACCCTTGATTCACCTTAATAATCGCGAGGATTCTTGCAAAGATCACAGGAAACTATGAAAACAGCAATCGTCGTCCTTGCCATTTTGGTAGTTGTTCACGCCGCCCTCTTTGGTAAGAAAAAGGAGGAAGACTCCTGCAAGGACAACGAGCCAGAATAGTACGTGTAGTAGCTTAAACATCAATGGCACAGCAACTGTCCTAGCAGCGCGTCCTAGTGAACTAACGAAATTTCTCTTGTTGCAGCTGTAAAGAGAAGGTCCCGAAAGGATTCTGTGAGTCACAGTTCCACACATTGGAGCAAAAAAAGGCGAAATGCATGAAATCGTGTAAAATGTGCTGCGATGAGGCGGATCCCAAGTGAGTTTTGGATGGAGTTCTGGTGTTTCTCGTCATGGGCTAGACAGAAACTTCAAAAATGAAATAAAGAAACTATTAATACCTGCCAGTATAAAATAAAAGGCTCACTTTCTTGAAGTTCTTGCACGCTCAATTCACAGCTTCATTTGTCGAAGCTGCCTTATAATGCAGAAGTTCATGTGCGACGAATTTTGAGGTCATTCAATCTCGAGAAATGAGAAAGGAAACCTCTCAAGCGCCACGCAGAAACTCCGAATAGGAATAATTGAGTATGAAATTCAAGCAACTGTAGCTTATCAAAGCGAAGAAGTTGCCATGAGTTAGTGAATCGATCGCATCGGCAAAATGAAATAGATGTTTGCAACAATGAAAGGGTACGAGCTTTCAAGGAACATTTATCACGGTTGGATGAGGTCAGCCAAGCAGCGCTAAGCGGAACTGGAGTGGTCGATCACGTCAGAGGTATGGTTTATGACTGCAGGAATATCGCCAAACAAAGGCATTAAGGTAATGGTATTCATGTGAATGAGAAATATCTGTTGATTGAGGTTATGCACGCAGTTCCTTTTCTTGCGAGATGATACGGCGGTGAAAAAAATTACTTTGAAATCAGAGAGGGTCATCGTTCGAGCAAGTGTGAGGCACACAACCCGATCTGAGCTGTGGGCGGAGAGTGCGGCGAAGTGGGTGGCGCTAAACCTGAAAGATGCCCAAAACGGTTTCTGAATGCACCAGAACCGGGAAAAATTGTGAAAGGCTCCAGAGGAGATCTTATCGGTGCTATGGCGCATAAGACTAGCGCGTGAGGGCATACGCTTTAGGTGAGCGCGCTTTTGAAGTGAGGCGGCGCGTATTACTCAATGAGAACACCACCGGAGAGCCTCGACTAATGACCTCGCTTTTCTTCATCCCTATCCACTTGATCCACGCTTCTCACCACTGTTCCATACACCGTAATAGTTCTGAAAATAGCAGGTATGATGTGGATGAGCATGCTATTGGTTGAGTAATGTTGACCATCTGCTCAAATAAAGGGAATGCCAGATTTAGGTAGGTATTGAAATGTGTGGGAGAAGGTAAGCGGAGCCGCGCCCGCTCAGCGAAGCCGTTCTGTATCTCGGAAGGAGGCGCGCCGGCTGGTAGCATATAAGTGAACTAGACGACCGATACAAACTGCTTGCCCTCAAGAGGAGCCGTATGAACAATCGTCACTCCAACGCAACTACTCAAAGTGTCTGGCGATGAACTTAACATTGCTGAACTCTGTTGCTCACACTACCTTCTACATAGGATTTCGATTCCTATGACTAGTAGTAGAATAAATTGAAATTCCATAGTTTTATTGAGAAATGCCATAAGGCAGAACTAAACCCAGGGTTGTCGCTCTGACACCGGAATGGCGTAGTCATCGTAAGGTCCCTTCGGCTTGCATCTAAAAATAGGCAAGTTGATATCTGAGCCATG